AGATCTACATAAAAATGAACAGCAAACTGCCAAAAATGATATAAAAAATATTGCTTGTTAACCCATGACGCAAGAACATTCTACATGCATGTCAGTAATCAATTATTCATTTGTAAACTCAACTCTATACAATAACCAATAATTGCTTTTTCTTTTCCATTTTTCCCTTTCGATGCAGTTACCGTAATAATACAGGAGCTAACTTAAAACAACCCCAAATCAAGAGTACCAACTTTGAATCATCAAAACTATTAATAATAATAATAATAATAATAATAATAATAATAATAATAATAATAATAAAACAGTAGGATTTGAATTGTGGAAACGAACCAGACAGTTGTGTTTGACGGCATCAACAATCGAAACACATAATTCTTATTTGCAATTGAAGAAAGAAATATAAAACAACTAAGGAAGAAAAGAGGAAAAAAATTTACATTAGTAAGTTGAGGCCTCGAAGAAATCCAAACCGCAGAGAGGGATTAGAGGAGAGGTTGAAATTTCTTTTATTATTTTCTTTACGCCAAACTTAAAAAGTTTACTTCAATTGTTCAAAGTTTTACCAAAAACAGTTTCAACCACACTTAGATCATAATCTCAACTAATCATAATCTCAATTAAACTTTATCATTTCTCTATCATATTGAGATTTTAATTTAAGGAAAAAGTATTTCTCAGGTCATTGAAAGATAAAGTTATCTCTAGCTCAAAATCATGTCGTTTTGGGTTATAAGTTTAAAAAATTATAATGATAAAGACTAATATAACACTGTAATATCTTAGAATTATAAAAAATCTTCATTTCTGTCCCAAAACGATGTCGTTTTAGGCTCACAGGGAATAACTTATCTCCATTGACTAGAGAAATCATTTACCTTAATTTAATGGTGTCAGAGATTGGAATGATGTAAGATAAGCATAAAAAAATAAGTAGAATAATTTATCCCCAAATAATAATGCCTTGAAAAATCTCAATGACTCATTTAAGTTTTGAAAATTTTACTAATATTGTTTAAAAAAATTTAATTTAAATGCATTGAGATAAATCTTGAAATTAAATGTTAATATGAAATTAAATGACAAATATAAAAGATTTCACATAATATTGTATTAAAAAATTTAATTTTTTAAAAGTAATTAAAAAATAATAAAATTTCTTACCTTGTTATAAATAACATGACTCTTGGATGTCCAAAACCCCAAAATATTATGACTTATGTATGTTTAAAGCCAAATTGTAACCACCGAAGAAGAGTAATTATGGTCATTTATCCTATTATCTCCGACCGGAACAATAAATAGGAAAGAGTTGGAGGTGAGATAAAAAAAAATTCTTATAGAACCATTTGAAAAATATGAGTATAGAAAATAATATTTTTCTTATATAACATAAAAAAATGTATTACCCTAACAGCAATTACCTTTACTCTCTTTTAAGAGAATCCCATTTTAGGAATATAAAAAAAAAAATCCATATTTTACAACAATAACGAACCGTTATAAAGAGTATGAGAATTATTTCTTTCAAATAAAGCAAATGCTAATTTGCTTTAACGAAGTAATGTGTAATTTGGTTTGTACATGATTAATGTTCAGGGATAGGAAGTGGTGAGAATTCATTCAGAAGAAAATTTTGATCAGCAAAAACACTAAATTGAAAAGATTAAAAAAATCATGTACATTTATTATGCTGAAAAGCTTGTTGACTTATGTTTGGACTTGAGTGGATTGTATGGAAAACACAAAAGAAATTGTTCGGATTTTGGAGTCGTAAAAATGATAGAAATGTGGGAAGGCAGAGCTAGTTACTTAATCACTCTGTATTTTCATGATTTCATCAGTTCAGAGGAAAATGAGAAATGGAGAATGTAGATCAATGTTTATCAGTGTTTTCAATAGCCATTCTCTGTTACTTTATACCTTCTAACGTTTAGCAATAACACAATCTACATATACAAGAATATCATAGTCAAATAATTATACAGAGTCAATCTATATATGTATCTAGTAACCAATTTCCAGAACTTCCTTCCTCTTCATGCTAAGTTGCTCACTAACACTGAAATTTAGACCGAGTTTATAATACTTCTAAGCATATGTTAGTGTTGTGATTTTGGAAAGGTATTTCCCAAACAATAAAGACCACAGAAGACTAAAGGCCTGTTTGGATGAGTTTTTTTTTTCTCCTGAAGTTGTTGTTTTTTTTTTAAAAAAAAGCACTTTTCACTTTTAGTTGGTTTGAATGTCTGCTTTTAAAAAAAAGCAGAAGTCACAAAAAAAATTAAAAACTTACTTTTGTTTGAAGCTAAAAATTTTAACTTCTAAAAAGAGCACAAGTCAAAAGTCAAATATTTTTTTTAAAATCGAAATATTTTTATAAAAATATAAATAGCTTTAACTTTTGTAAAAAATACTTCTAAAATAAGAAAGATATAAAAATTACTTTTTTTAAAAGTGCAAACAAACAGGTCTCTAAGAACATAAAAAGACATGAAGAAGAAAAACGAGACACAAGGATTTACAGATTCAGAAAAACGAAATACAGTCAACAGTTAGATTATAATACTCTGATTTTTTATTTTATTTTTTTGGTTGTCAAAGTTGAAGGGGAGGACAGATCTACATAAATATGAACTGCAAACAGCCACAAATCATATAAAATATTGGTTGTTAATCCAACAAAATGTAAACCAGCACAAACATGGTAAATGCATTTCAGTAATCAATTATTCATTTATAAACTCCACTTAATATCTAACGGGTATAGCTCTGTTGATGACACAAGTTGAGTATAGTGGAAAGAAATTCAGGATTCAATTCCAATCAAATACGTTTTTGGGAAGAGACAAGAAACTAAGCCCAACTCAGGATTAGTCTCAGAACTGGTTCAAAGAGTTGAAACTTATAGAAATAATACCCAAAAAGGTAATTAGGTCATTATAAAAAAAACTGGTTTTTCTTTGGATTTACACCATATTACATGACTTACATAGCTAGCATAAAACCTCAAATAAATAAAACAACAATGAAAGAAAAAAATAAAGGGAAAAAACATTTATCAGGCAAAAGTGTCTTCTCCAAAAATAAATCTTTGGTGCTACTGTTGCATCAAGATTCAGTGCATTCCATTAATGGGAGCATTACACATCATAGGAGAGAAAAAAAATTTGGCAGAAATAAAACTTTAGCTGACATGTAATATTTTTATTGGTGGGATGTACTGAATCTTTGCTGTAACAGTAGCCCCAAAAATTTATTCCTATTAATGACTTTCTTCCGTGCCAACACAGATCACTTTTTAAAGATGGGCCCTATCACTTTTTCTTTATGTAACAGGAGAAGTTAAAAGCCCAAAAGTAAATTACCTCAGAATGTAAAGGCCCGGAAGAATTCCTAACCGCAAAGAAAAGATTCGAGAAGTGATGTATATAATATGAGATTTTCATATAATTTATTGCACTCGTTCAAAATTTTTGTAACAAAAATGGCTTAAAAAATCACCTGAAAATTTTAGTAATATTTTTTAAAAATTTAATTTTGATGCGTTGAGATAAAGTTGAAATAAGATGTTAATATCAAATTAAACTTTAGGTAAAATTAAATGTTTATATAAAATTAAATGAAAATATAAAAAGAATTTATACTGTATTAAAAAAATTAGTTCTTTTTATACATTTAAACAAAATTAGAAAATATTAAGTATTTCTTGCCTAATATTATTAGGATTGTTAGTGAAATTCTTTGAAATAAAACTTCTTTTTTATTCATATATATTTTCACTTCTATACTATTTCATTTCCACTTGAGAGGCCAAGTTGCCAATTCACTCCTCATACAGTCACACTGGCTGAGTAAAACCTTAGAAAATACTTTATATTTTATCACAGTTCGATTGTCGCCTAATTATTGTAGTCCCGTTGAAATCTGGCGATATTGCACTAGTTTCTTATAATTTAGCCCATAGATTATAATATTATATTCACTTTCACACGTTACTATAATGGATAAGAGAGAACCCAACATGGCATAAAAATAAAAGCGTTTTTAATGTGGGCTCCCAAACTATGTATATGATGTTAAATTATGGTGATAATAAAATATGGGAAAATTAAATATTATTTTAAAAGGATTTTGGTTTGTCCTGCAACAGGAAAAGAAAGAAGTTTCTCGCCGATACAATATTTTGTAGATCCACAATTTATGAAAAAAAGAAAAAAGAAATAGGCACGAAAAATGAATATCTATAACATGACATGGTAACTTTTTCTACAACATAACTCTTATAAAACACTATTTTAAAGTACATAAAGTTGTATCATTTTAAGTAAGAAAAAGAGATAAATTAAGAGAGAGAGAGAAAGTGGGAGAATTTTTTTTTAAAGATGTGGGTCTTACCTGTTTGTAAAAGTGAAAAGATGTAAGGTATGTCATTTAAAATGACACACTTTTTTCCCATAGAATATAATGCCATAGAATTTAAGAATTTTTCATATTACTTACTTAAATATTTTATAATGGAAAAGAGTAAAATATTTATTATATTATTCAAAAATAAATTGAATTTTTAGATTTATAATTTTTATAATTATTATATAAAATAATTTTATCTCATATTTTTATATTTAGAAATAAATATATTAAATAAATCTTTATATACTAAATTAACGTGTATTATCTTAAAAAGTAATTTAATTTTTAATTTGAAATGCATATTCTTTTGTTTTAATGTTTGATTGTGACTTAAATATAAAAATGCATATAGATTAAGCAGAATAACTTCTAAACTTGATCATAAGTTTTTCTTTTATCACGTTTTGCGTGTTATTCATAAAAAAAATAATCCAATGAACTTGAGAGTACACTTCCACGCATTTGAATTGGCCTATAAATACCTTAGTTGGCGTCCTCACAAGCCACAAGCTTCTTCTCCTACATTCAGCAAAAGTATATATATATATATATAGTGTTGATATCATCAGCAAGAAGAAGCAGCAAAGATGTTTAACATCTTCAACAAGGGCCAAAAGATCAAGGGGACTGTGGTGTTGATGGCCAAAAATGTTTTGGACTTCGACGCCATAACGTCCATTGGTAGTGGCGGTGTTACTGGCGCTGTCGATAGCATCTTCGACACTGCCACAAGCTTAGCTGGCCAACTACTTGATAGTGCCACTGCCATCTTCAGCCGTAGCGTCTCCTTGCAGTTGATCAGTGCTACCAAGACTGATGGTTTTTTTTTTTTTTTTTTTCATATATATAATTACCTTGTCATTAATTACTTAATTAATTCGGTTTTCACACTTCGAATTCGATATTAAGGAAAACAAACTCATTATCCCTTTTACTAATGGTGGTTGGTTCTTTCTCCTCTTTTAAGTTCCAAACATACATATTAAAAACAAAAATATGAATACTTTACATCAATATTAGTTATAGTCCAAAACTATTATTGGTGGGAACTGAATACGTAATTTAATACAAATTATTCAAACTCTTCATTATTAGACCAAACCTGCTACTAGACCAAATCTAGTGGCTTTTATTATAGGCTCATCTTAGTCGTTGATTATATTTATTTCTAATATAACTCTCATTCATAACATATATAATCAATAATTATTTAGATGTAAGTAGATTAGTAATTCATATTAAGTGTTTCATAGGTATATGTTGATTCCTCACTTAAAAATACATGCTTTTAAATTTTCTTTTCGTAAATGCTTTTAAATTTTCAACTTGCAATTTAGTATGCGAACTGAGCCCGCCTTATGACAACAAATAAGGTTCCCTCCCTATAATTATTATTCATAGTTTGTAGTTTGTGTGTCATGTGAAAATCTCCTTGTGATTGCCGTTCACTATTTCTATACGGACAAGTCACCGATGTAACGTATTTAAATTTGACAGTAAAATATTACTCTTTTTTATTTAAGCAACAGCTACTCAATAATAGTTTATAAATTATGCATAAAACTATTCATGCAAGTATCATTATTTTAAAGATTATTGTTCGATCACTGACTCATTCATTGGAATTTTATTTGTAGGAAGTGGAAATGGCAAACTTGGAACAGAAACCTTTTTGCAGAAACATATTCCAACGTTACCAACCTTGGGAGCAAGGAAGGATGTTTTCGAAATTTATTTCGATTGGGATAGTGATTTCGGAATACCAGGAGCATTTTACATTAAAAACTTTATGCAAGATGAGTTTTTCATTGTCAGTGTGACGCTTGAAGACATTCCAAATCATGGAACCATTTACTTTGTTTGTAACTCATGGGTTTACAACGCTAAGTATTACAAAAAGGAACGCATTTTCTTCGACAATAATGTAAGTTCTCCACCAAACAAGTAGTTATGATATTTAAATACTGTTTTTCTAAAGTTTACAAAATATATTTAGCCCATTTTTAAAATTTATTATGTGTACAATATTCCCTACTCCCAAATATATATATATATATATATATATATATATATATATATCGATTTAATCTCTACTATATGATGTAAAATTATTTCCTACACATACATAAAAGTTTATAGAGTTGATATTCTTTTTTCTTTTTTCTCTTCATATGATCTCATATAAGCCCTGCATACTTTTATGTGTGTATAGAAGATAATTTTATATATTTTCAACATGAGAAACATCAAACCTTATGTAAACAGAGTCAGATCATTATAAGTTATACACTTAATTTTGGTCGTTGATTCCACTTAAATCAAACTGCTTTAATTTTTTTAGAAATATGAGTCATTGAATACAAATAGATCAACAGTCAAGATTGAGTGTAAGACTTATTATTCTTACACCAATGTCAGTTAATGCTTTCTCTTATATGTTTATAGGGATAAATTATTTTACCTACCTTTTTTTCGTACCTACTTTGTTTATCAGTCACCAATACTCTTAAATCAGAATTTTAAGAAGAGAGAGAAATGGTAAAAATTAGTTGAGATTCTAATCTAATGGTATTGGAAAGTGGTAGACATAAAAAAAGTAAGTAACATAATATATCTCATATATATATTTAGGCAAAATTATTTCTGCAGCCGCTGCACATACAGCAAGCCATGATACGGAACCGGATCGTAGGATCCAGTACCGTATCCTAACTTCTTCTTCTACTTTTTTAAAGAAAAGCAGTGGGGCCCACTTTTCTATATTAGCTGCAGATAGCACATCTCTGCAACCGCTGTAGAAAAAGTGTCCTTATATATATATATATATTGGTTTAATGTGTGTTCTTTTAAAGGACACAAGACTTTTTATAGATGTATTACTTGTACTACATAGTTATAATATAAAAGTTGTACTTTTGCACTTCTCACGTTAGCAAGTAGCTTCTGAAGAGAGAGAAAAAAAATACAACTTTAATATTATAACTACGTACTGCTCGTAATATATAGTTATAACCGTTAAAAGGACACAATATTGTGTCCTTTAAAAGGAAAAAACTTTTTCCCATAAAAATTTCACCAAATCTTATATAAAAAATCTTGGGAAAAATGTTTATCATTTTAAATGACACAATTTATATCATTTCACTCTCACAAAGAGTGGGTCCCACCTTTATTTTTTTTGTCAACTCTCTCTCTTTCTTTATTTATCTTTTTCTCTCTCTTAAAATGACACAATTTTATATCCTTTAAAATGACACAATTTTATATCCTTTAAAATGACACACACTTTACCCAAAAATCTTATATTGCAATGAATAATAAATCTTATATCAAATCTTAACTGATAATTTTTGTGTATTTAACAATTATAATTTATTAAAAATTAATAATTAATTAATAAGAATAATCCAATATATTATCCTGTAAATGAAGAAAATCATTCATTGCATATGTTGCAGGCATATCTTCCAAATGAAACACCAGCTCCACTAGCTAAGTATAGAGCAGAAGAGTTGCAAAATTTAAGAGGAGATGGAACTGGGGAGCGCAAAGTATGGGAAAGGATCTATGATTATGATGTATATAATGATTTGGGAAATCCAGATAGCAGTGAAAACCTTGCTCGCCCTGTCCTTGGAGGGTCTAGCACCTATCCTTACCCTCGTAGGGTTAGAACCGGTAGAAAACCAACCAGGAAAGGTTAGACTTCTATATTTTAATTATGATTCAATTTAATTTATTTTTCCAATTGAACCATTGGTAATATATAATATAACCACATTCTAGTATTGCACACAATTGTATTGATAAAATGTAACTGATTTGGTATTTGTTTAGCACTAAACAGAGGTCAAGATGAGAAATAAAAAAAGGCATATGTAACTTGGTAATCTGCTTGACAAATAAGGAATCTTTTTTTTTTTTCGGCTATGGTTTATTAATTTTTGCTTTTTTGCTCACACAATTTGTGTTGTGCTTCTTTTCTGACATCTATGGTACCATTATTTGATTCTTAACAGATCCTAAGAGTGAGCAACCAGGGGAGATTTATGTTCCAAGAGATGAAAATTTTGGTCACTTGAAGTCATCAGACTTCCTTGCATATGGAATAAAATCTTTATCTCAAGACGTTTTACCTCTGTTTCAATCTTTAATTTTTGACTTGAATTTCACACCAAATGAGTTTACTAGCTTCGATGACGTGCGTGGACTCTATGAAGGTGGTATTACACTTCCTACTACTATACTCAGCCAAATTAGCCCCTTACCAGTTCTCCAAGAAATCTTCCGCACTGATGGTGAACAAGCCCTTAAGTTTCCACCACCTCAAGTAATCAAAGGTATACATCTCAATTGAACCACTTTTACTTAACATGATACTTATTAGCATCATATTCAACATCAACAAAAAATTTGTGCATTTGTTTAATAATCGAATTTGAAAAATATTTTATTATTTGGAGCAGTTAGTAAGTCTGCATGGATGACTGATGATGAATTTTCAAGAGAGATGATTGCTGGTGTAAATCCTTGCGTGATTCGCCTTCTTGAAGTATGTCCTTTTAATGTTAAATAGCTAAAACGGTGAATTTGATATGATGGCCTATAATGAACAATCATTGTTTGTCATCTTTCCTTATATTATTCTTTAATTATGGTAGGAGTTCCCACCAGTAAGCAAGCTAGATGCCACTGTCTATGGTGATCAAACTAGTACAATAACAAAAGAAAACTTGGAGACTAATCTGAATGGGGTCACAATAGATGAGGTAATGATGGAAAAGTGTTTCACTATAAAATCCAATATTAAGATTTTTTAGCATGGATTTGCACTCCATGTAGTATGTGATTCGAAGGAATGAAACAAAGTGATTGACATTAAATTTATGGAACAGGCACTTAGTGGTCTGAGATTATTCATATTAGATTACCATGACGCTTTCATGCCTTATTTGAGAAGGATAAACACAACTGCAAAGGCTTATGCCACGAGGACAATCCTGTTCTTGAAAGATGATGGGACTCTAAAGCCACTGGCCATTGAATTAAGTTTGCCACATCCAAATGGAGATCAGTTTGGTGCCGTGAGTAAAGTCATCTTGCCAGCAGATGAAGGTGTTGAAAGTACAATTTGGCTATTGGCCAAGGCTTATGTTGTTGTAAATGACTCATGCTACCACCAGCTCATGAGCCACTGGTATGAATTCTGCTAGCGAGATCTACAAACAAGTTTAGTCCTGTGTATGTAAGAAATTATCACTAATGTTTTTTCATGGGGTCACAGGTTAAATACTCATGCAGTGGTTGAGCCATTTTCCATAGCAACAAACAGGAATCTCAGTGTGCTCCACCCTATTTATAAACTTCTATATCCACACTATCGTGACACCATCAATATCAATGGACTTGCTCGGCAATCACTAATTAATGCAGGTGGCATTATAGAGCAATCATTTTTGCCTGGACCGTATTCTATTGAGATGTCTTCAGTGGCTTACAAGAATTGGGTTTTTACTGATCAAGCATTACCAGCTGATCTCATCAAGAGGTGATCCTAGTACATATATACCACTAGAAAAGAAATTAAATTTAGAATTTTCAGTTATTAGGCACTAAATGTACGAAGGTTTGAAATAAAATATTTAATAATAGAAACATGAACTTACACAATTGCGGGACTACAAAACATAAAAGTTCCTCTTTAATGATTGAAAAATTTGGAATGACTTGTTGTTAATAACAAAAAAATTTGCTTCAATGATTCAGAGGATTGGCAGTTGAGGATCCCTCTTCACCCCATGGTCTTCGCCTTGTGATAGAGGACTACCCTTATGCTGTTGATGGACTAGAGATATGGGATGCTATTAAGACATGGGTCCAAGACTATGTTTCCTTGTATTACACGACAGATGTGGCTGTTCAAAATGACACTGAACTGCAAGCTTGGTGGAAGGAAGCTGTAGAAAAGGGTCATGCTGACTTAAAAGATAAGTCATGGTGGCCTAAGTTGCAGACTCGTGAAGAGCTGATTCAATCTTGCTCTATTGTCATATGGACTGCTTCTGCTCTTCATGCAGCTGTTAATTTTGGACAATATCCTTATGGAGGTTATATCCTGAACCGTCCAACTCTTAGCAGAAGATTGATCCCAGAAAAGGGAACTCCAGAATATGATGAGATGGTGAAGAGTCCTCAAAAGGCTTATTTGAGAACAATTACACCAAAGTACCAGACCCTTGTTGACCTTTCAGTGATTGAGATATTGTCAAGGCATGCTTCTGATGAGATCTACCTAGGGGAGAGGGATAATCCAAATTGGACATCTGACACAACGGCATTACAAGCCTTCAAGAAGTTTGGAAGCAAGTTGGCAGAAATTGAGGGGAATATCACAGGGAGGAACAACAATTCAAGTCTGATAAACCGATTGGGGCCAGTTCAACTGCCCTACACTTTGCTCCTTCCTACAAGTAATGAAGGGTTGACTTTCAGAGGAATTCCCAACAGTATCTCTATCTGAAAAGAGTTTGTGGCTTCCTAATCTATTGTAAATAAACTTAGATGATATCTCTATCTAGAAAGCGTGTGGTTTCGGTATCTTTTGTAGTTACTAATAAACGTAGATGGTGCTTGTCTATGTATAGTTAATGTCTTTATGCTTGCAATATTGTATTTGGATGTTCTTGGTTTGCAACTTTGCATATAATAAAGCGTGTTTTCCCTATCAATTTGTATTTAGTACAATTTATGTTCACCAGGAGTATGTAGAAGCAGTTGTGTTTATTGTTTTTCGGAGTCTCCCAAAATATGAATATAACAATTTGAAATACAACTATTACGAATTATTATGAATACTATGGGAGTAATGTCTTTTAAATTTAACAATGCTAATTTGCTCTAATGAAGTAGTGTGTAATTTGGGCTGTACATGGGGAATGTTGCATGGAGGAAGGGAGAATTCATTCACCAGAAAGTTTTGATGAGCAAAAACGCCAAATTAAAAAGAAAAAAATCCTGTAAATATATTAAGCTGAAAAGCTTATCTCAACAGCATAATTTGACTTAAGTTTGGACTATAGTGGATTGTATGGAAAATACAAAAGAGGTTGTTTGGACTTTGGACTAGAGTGATTGGAAGGAAGAGCTATTCACTTGATCATTCTGTAGTTTCATCTGTTCAGTGAAAGACAGAGGAAATGTAGATCAATGTTTTATAGTTTTTTCAATTACCTTTCTCTGTTAGTTTATACCTTTTAACTATAGCAATAAGACATTCCATATATACAAGAGTGTCCTAGACAAATACTCATACAGACAGAATCCATCCACATATCCAATAACAAATTTCCAGAACTTCCTTCCTCTTCATGCTAAGTTGCTCACTAAAAATATTGCTTGTTAACCCAACAAAATTACAACTAGCAGCACCTTTTCCAGTCCCTTGACGCAAGAACACTCCACATGTATGTCAGTAGTCAATTATTCACTTGTAAACTCAACTCAATACAATAACCAATAATTGCTTTTTCTTTTCCTTTTTTCTCTGATATTACGGTAATAAAAGCGGAGCAAGCTTCAAACAACCCCAAATCAAAAGTACCAACTTTGAATCATCAAAACTATTAACAATAATAATAATAAATAAACACATAAAACAGTAGAATTTGAATTGTGGAAACGAACCAAAACCCCTCAAATAATCTAATTTGTATGCAAAATTATCTATGTATTACTTGAAAAATCGCGGAGGGAAAAGTTATTTTACAAACACAAACACAAACACACACACAGACAGTTGTGTTTGACAGCATCAACAATCGAAACACATAATCCTCATTTGCAATTGAAGAAAGAAACATAACAACAACTAAGGAAGAAAAGAAGAGAGAGAAAATTTACCTTAGTAAGTTGAGGCCTCGAGGAAATCCTAACCGCAGAGAGGAGATTAGATGAGAGGTTGAGATTTCTTTTATTATTTTCCTTACGCCAAACTTTAAAAATTTAGTTCAATTGCTCAAAATTTTATGAAAAATAATGCCTTGAAAAATCTATAGGACTAATTTAAGTTTTGAAAATTTTACTAATATTTTTTAAATTTTAGTTGTAATTCATTGAGATAAATCTTGAAATAAAATGTTAATATGAAATTAAGTGATGAATATAAAAAAAATATTCACATAACATTTGTATTAAAAAATTTAAATTTTTAAAAAATATAATAAAATTTCTTATCTAATATTATTTGGACGGTTGTTAGTAAAATTCTTAAAAAAATGACTTTTTGTTTTATACATCTATGATCTATTCTTGATTCCTTTCTCTTATATTTCATTTGCACTTGCAAGGCCATGGCCCGGTTGCCCACGTGGTCCTCATACGACTCTATTGTGGCACAGTAGAACTCTATGAAATACTCACGGGAAGAGTGTGTGTCATTTTTTTTTTTTTTTTGATAACATTAAGTGGCGAAGTCTCAGTGTGTGTCATTTTAAAGGATGTAAAGTTGTGTCATTTTAAGATAAATAAAGAAGTAGAGAGAGTTGACAAAAAAATATAAAGGTGTGAGTCTCATCTCTTTACGAGAGTGAAAAGGTATAAGTTGTGTCATCTAAGTGAAAAGATATAAGTTATGTCATTTAAAAGGATAAACAATTTTTTCAATACTTGAGAAAAATATTTTTACTCTTAAATGACACAACTTATATTTTTTCACTCTCGTAAAGAGACGAGACTCACACCTTTATATTTTTTTGTTCACTCTCTCTCCTTCTTAATCTATCTATTTCTCTCATTTAAATAATACAATTTTATATCATTTAAAATGATACACAATTTTCCTATACTTGTTACCACGTTTTCACTGCGGCCTATTTATTGTACTCAGGGCGAAAATCTGGTCCTCGGTAAAAACCGGAAATGTCCGTAAGAACCCAAACACAGATAACATGACATATATTATATAATATTCACTTCACGCGTTAATATGATGGATAAGACTAAGGAGAGCCCAACTTCCAAGAAATATAAATGCCTTTTTTTTTTTATGTGGGCTCCTAAACTATTTATAAAATATATATAATGGATATAATCAAATAGAATAAAAAATTATTATATTACTTATTTAAATATTTTATAACTTAACAGAGTAACTTTTTTATTATATTATTTAAAAATAAACAGAGTGTATAATTTTAGTATTACTATATAAAATAATTTCATCTCAATTTTTTATATTAAAAAATAAATGTATACTGAATATACCTTTGTACATTAAATTAACTCATATTGTCTTCAAAATGATTTAATCTCTTAGTTTATCTTTTTCTTTTCTTTTTTAAATGACATTCGTACCTTCTTTTTGAATTTTAAATGTATATTCTTTTACATTATATATATATATAATTATATTTTTAAATTATGTTTATTTATATATTATTTATTTTATTTTTACTCAAATATAAAAAAACATACATTATACGGAATAAGCTGTACTAACTTCAATATGATTTTTTCATGACACGCTTTGCATGTGGAGTTAACTCCTCTATTAAAAAATAGCCTTCTGAACTTGTGAGTAATGCTTGTAGCGCATTTATAATTATCCCTTGGCCTATAAATACCTTACTTGGGTTTCTCACAAGCCACAAGCTTCTCTTACATTACATTTTACCAAAAGAGAATAGTATAGTGTTGATAGCATCAAGCAGCAAAGATGTTTGGCATCTTAAACAAGGGCCAAAAGGTCAAGGGGACTGTGGTGTTTATGCCCAAGAATGTCTTGGACTTCAACGCCATAACCTCCGTTGCTAGTGGCGGTGTTACCGGCGCTGTCGGTGGCATCTTCGGCATGGCCAGCGGCGTAGCTGGTCAAGTAGTTGATGGTGCCACTTCCATCTTTAGCCGTAGCGTCTCCCTTCAGTTGATCAGTGCTACCAAGACTGATGGTTTGTTCTCTCTTCCTCCAAATTTTACATTTCATTCTCTTCTTTTTCTCAAGTTCTAAACAAACTTATTAAAATTATAACTTTGCTTAATTTTAATATTACTGTAATATTGAAGACTCGTGAGTCATGACACCACTTATTAAAACAAGGGTCCAGTGTCCAATCACGTTACATAAAGTTTTGTTTCAGTAATTTTTTTTATAATTATATATTTCAAAAAAAATATAATTATAATATTAAAATTTTTTTTTTCTTTTTTTTTTATCTTAGTCGACAAGTTTATGAAAAATTTATAAAAAAGAAAAAAATATAATTTTAATATTATAATTATATATTCTTTAAAATATATAATTATAAGAATGTAACTGGATAAAATCTTATTATATTCTATCAACAATAAACCCTTAAAATATATGTTTTTAATAATGTTAAGACAAATGATAATGTTAAAAAATATATGCTTTTAAAATTTTCAATTATGAGAAGTGAGCCCCACCTTAAGACAAATGATATTATTCCATATGGGTCGTGTGACTCGTGCGTCGCGTGGAAGTGTCCTTGTGATTGCTGTAAAATAATTGTATACAGACAAATGATAGATGTAAGTATGTAACAGAGAATATTACTTTTTTTTTAATTTATTTCAGCAACACTGAAGCTATTATTCACTAATAGTTTATAAATTATGCATTAAAATATTCATGTTTGAAAAAAAGTATTGTTGGACTAGAGACTCAATTTTTGGTTATTTTATTTGTAGCAAGTGGAAAAGGGAAAATTGGAAAGGAAACCTTTTTGCAGAAACATCTTCCAACGTTACCAACATTGGGGGCAGGCCAGGATGCATTCGATATTTTCTTTGATTGGGATGCTGATTTCGGAATACCAGGAGCATTTTACATTAAAAACTATATGCAAGGTGGAGAGTTCTTCCTTGTCAGTGTAACACTTGAAGACATACCAAATCATGGAACCATTCACTTTGTTTGTAACTCATGGGTTTACAACTCAAAGAATTACAAGAAGGATCGCATTTTCTTTGACAGTAATGTAAGCTCTTAATTAACCAAGCAACTAGTTATGAAATTTAACTACTATTTTTCTAACCTTAACAAAATTTACCACCATTTTATATGTGTACAATTTTCACTAGTTCCAACCATTTTTTTTTTCCATGCTGGAAATGAGAAAAATCATTACATATATTGTAGGCATTTCTTCCAAGTGAAACACCAGCTGCACTAGTTAAGTACAGAGAAGAAGAGTTGCAGAACTTAAGAGGAGATGGAACTGGGGTGCGCAAGGAATGGGAAAGGATCTATGATTATGATGTCTACAATGATTTGGGCAATCCAGATAGTGGTGACAAACTTGCTCGTCCAATCCTTGGAGGGTCTAGCACCTATCCCTACCCTCGCAGGGTTAGAACCGGTAGAAAATTTACCAGGAAAGGTTAGACTTCTATTTTTTAATTCTGATTCCTTTTCTTTTTTTTCCCCAATTCTTCTATTGGTAATATATAACCAATGTAGTATTGTACCATAATTGTATAAATAAAATGTAACAGATTTGGTAATGTTTTTTTAAGCACTAAGCAGAAGTCAAGATGTGAAAAAAAGGCATATATTACTTTTTTTTGTTATAAAATTGTGTAATTTACTAATCGGCTTAACAAAAAAGGATTCTTTTTTTTTTTTCTATTGGATATGGTTTATCAATATATCTAATCTACTATTATTTGAATCTTAACAGATCCCAAAAGTGAGCAACCAGGCACAGTTTATGTTCCAAGAGATGAAAATTTCGGTCACTTGAAGTCTTCAGACTTCCTTACATATGGAATAAAATCTTTGTCTCAAAACGTGTTACCTTTGTTTCAATCTGTGATTTTTGATTTGAATTTCACACCGAATGAGTTTGATAGCTTCGATGAAGTGCGTGGACTCTATGAAGGTGGAATTAAGCTTCCTACTGATGTACTCAGCCAAATTAGCCCATTACCTGTCCTTAAGGAAATCTTCCGGACTGATGGTGAACAAGTCCTCAAATTCCCACCACCCCATGTAATCAAAGGTGCACATTTTAATCGAGCCACCTTTGCTTAACATGACACTTATTAACATCATATTCAATAGCTACAAAAACGCTTGCATTTGTTGAATTAATACAATTTGACAATTATTATATTAATTTGAGCAGTTACTAAGTCTGCATGGATGACTGATGAAGAATTTGGAAGAGAGATGCTTGCTGGTGTAAATCCTTGTGTAATTCAGCTACTTCAAGTAAGTTCAAATGTTTTAATGTTATAGAGCTCAAACTTTGAATTTTGTTGTCAATGTTAAATTATTAATTTGATGGCCTAAAACCAAGGGTCACTATTTGTCATTTTTCCTTATATTATTCTTTAATAATGGCAGGAGTTCCCACCACGAAGCCAGCTAGATGCCACAGTCTACGGTGATCAAACTAGTACAATAACAAAAGAAAACTTGGAGACTAACCTAGATGGGGTCACAGTAGAAGAGGTAATGATGTGAATGTGTTTCACTGTAAAATATTATATTAAGATTTTCTACTATAGCTGGAAGCTACGATGAAACTAAGTGATTGAAATTAAATTTATGGAACAGGCACTTAGTGGTCAGAGATTACTCATATTAGATTACCATGACGCATTCATGCCGTATTTGAGAAAGATAAACACAATTGCAAAGGCTTATGCCACAAGGACAATCCTGTTCTTGAAAGATGATGGGACTCTAAAGCCATTGGCCATTGAATTAAGTTTGCCTCATCCTGATGGAGATCAATTTGGTGCAGATAGTAAAGTCATCTTACCTGCGGACCAAGGTGTTGAAAGCACAATTTGGCTGTTGGCCAAGGCTCATGTAATTGTAAATGATTCTTGCTATCACCAACTCATGAGCCACTGGTATGAACTCCTCTAGTGAAATCTACAAACAAGTTTAGTCTATGTATGTATGAAATGATTATTAATCTTTTTTCATGGGGTCGCAGGTTAAATACTCATGCAGTGGTTGAGCCATTTATCATAGCAACAAATAGGCATCTCAGTGTGCTTCACCCTATTCATAAACTTCTATTTCCTCACTATCGTGACACCATCAATATCAATGGACTTGCTCGCAATTCACTAATTAATGCAGGTGGCATTATAGAGCAATCATTTTTGCCCGGACCCTATTCTGTTGAGATGTCTTCAACTGTTTACAAGAATTGGGTTTTTACTGATCAAGCATTACCTGCTGATCTCATCAAGAGGTAATCTTTATGAATCTACACCACTAGAAAAAAATAATATAATAACTAAATTTATGATTTTTCAGTTATTATAGGCATTAAAAGTTTTGAAATATAATATTTTATAATTGAAACAGTAACACCAAATTTTTATTCAATTATAGGACTCTAAAAAGAAAAAACAATTTCTTTAATGATTGTAATAATTAAGAGTGACTTGCTATTAATAACAAATATTTTTGCTTAATTCAGAGGATTGGCAGTTGAGGATCCTTCTTCACCACATGGTCTTCGCCTTGTGATAGAGGATTACCCTTATGCTGTTGATGGACTAGAGATATGGGATGCCATTAAGACATGGGTCCAAGACTATGTATCCTTGTATTACACAACAGATGTGGCTGTACAAAAAGACTCTGAACTGCAAGCATGGTGGAAAGAAGCTGTAGAAAAGGGTCATGCTGACTTAAAAGATAAGCCATGGTGGCCTAAGTTGCAAACTCTTGAAGAGCTGATTCAATCTTGCTCTATTATCATATGGACTGCTTCTGCTCTTCATGCAGCTGTTAATTTTGGACAATACCCTTATGGAGGTTATATCCTGAACCGTCCAACTATTACCAGAAGATTCATCCCAGAAAAGGGAACTCCAGAATATGATGAGATGGTGAAAAGTCCTCAAAAGGCTTATTTGAGAACAATCACACCCAAGTACCAGACCCTTGTTGACCTTTCAGTGATTGAGATATTGTCAAGGCATGCTTCTGATGAGGTCTACCTTGGGGAGAGGGATAATCCAAATTGGACATCAGATACAAAGGCTTTACAAGCCTTCAAGAAGTTTGGAAGCAAGTTGGCAGAAATTGAGGGAAAAATCAAAGGGAGAAACAACAATTCAAGTCTGAGAAACCGATATGGGCCAATTCAGCTGCCTTACACTTTGCTCGCTCCTTCAAGTGATGAAGGGTTGACTTTTAGAGGAATTCCCAACAGTATCTCTATCTAAAAAGTGTGTGGTTTCCTTATTTATTGTACTTTCTAATGACATAGATGATGTTTGTCTATGTATAATTATTGTCTGTATGTTTGTACTATTGTGTTTGGATGCTCTTGCTTTACCAATAATAAAGAGTGTTTTTTCTGTTAGTTTCTCTTGAGTTCAAGTTCTGTTCTCCAGTGGTATGTAGAATCCGTTACCTTTATTGTTTTTCTGAAAAACCCAATTATGAATATACAAAAGTGAAATCTCTTTGTACTAATAAGATGAAAAAAAGTGAAATCTCTATATGTTACAACTATAAGGAACCATCATAAAGGGTATGAGCTTATGACTTTCAAATTTGACAATGCTAATATAATTTGGCTTATATTGCTTGATGAACAAAGCTATCTAATTTTTATGTCAACTTAGTCTATCAGTTTCAAAAATGCTTATTATTTAAAAAATTTGTAAAAGGATTAAAAAATTATTAAATTTTTCGATTTTAAAAATATGTGATTACATTTGACTTGATGTTACTCACTCTATTAAAGCATTTATATCAAGGTACAATACAAGCATAATAATTAGTATTATTAGAACCGAATTAGTTCGACCGATTGAACCGAATCATTAATCGGTTCGGTCAATGGATTGGCTATATATGCAATCTGGTTAAGAATGGTGAATTAGCCATAAACTGAATTCAATCCAATGTTATAAAAATAGGACCGATCTAGTCGGGTTGACTCGGAAACCGGTGAACCGATCATGTAATCGGTCCGATTTTCATATTGGACCGGCCATGTTACAAAACTGGTGTGACTCGGTGCGACCCGGTCGGTTTTCGCAAATACCGGTGACCCGGTCGGTTCAACCAGTGTGACCCGGCCCGATTTGCAAAAAAAAAAAAAAAACTAATTTATTCTCATCAATTGATTTCTTCCTTTTTTTGACTCTCAAACATAAATGATTTGTTTTCTTTTGAAATATTTGAGCGATTTGTAACTTATTAATTTACATAGATTATACACTTACAAAACTAATATTATCTTGATTATGCAATATGTAGGGAATTTTGATTTGATTTATAGTTAGATATGTCGTTTACTGAACCTGAAACATTAGTATAACAAATATTATATGTTTGATTACTTTTTTTTGTTGGACAATGATATGTAATTTATTATTTTTCGGGAGAGGTTATAGTTACTACCTCTTATTATCAAATTTTAACCATTGATTTTCGTTAATCTAACGGTAATAATTTATTAAGTCATACTTATTAATTAATTATTAATTTTCAATAAATTATAACTGTTGGATTGGCAAAAATCAACGGTTAAGATTTGGTATTAAGAGGTAGTAAGAAAAAGAGGTAGCAAGTATAACTTTTTCCTTATTTTTCATATTAAAATATTTAAAATTGGTATATTTTTGTACAAATATTTAAGTATATTTATAAATTTTTTAATATAAATTATAAATTTACATATATTTATCGGGTCATGCAGTTGAATCAGTGTTCTATTAGTTAAACCAATGACCTAGTACCCCGACCGATTCGATAACGGGAAATAACATTGATTCAATCAAAGCAAACTCGATAGGATTTTTTTGGTTGAATTTGTTATTGATATTCGTGCCAAAATATTTCATCACAATTGGAGCCGGTCAAACTTGGACATAAGGAGAAGAAAGTAAAATGCTAACCATTAAGTCATGTAATTTTAGTTGACATATTACCTTTATATGTATTAGATATTTTTATATAGATGCAATTTAAACTGTTCAATTAGTGATTTGACCCGGTACCCAACCGAGTTCATGATTGGAATAGTTTTAAGTGTTCAAGTTTTTTTTATGTTGTAAGATAGTAGGAGAAAAAAAAATATAAATAAATTAAATGTGAGTCCTATATTTTATATTAAAAAAAATTAATTGACACAAAAAATAAATTTGTGTAGGAAAAGATTTTACTCTCCTGTAACACAGGAGAGTATTATTTTCGTAGTTTTAATAACACAACATAAGTGTTTAATTCAAATTATTATTTTTATTATTGTTTATTGTTTGATGACTAGTGCATGTAATTAAAATTTTTGTAATATAGTGCTAAATACAAAACAAAATAACGCAAAACTTATGATAACATTCTTTGTGCTATGCATTATTCAAAGTTAAGAAAATAAAATAATATGAGTTATGGGTTTTTTTTTTCTTTTTGTAATATAGACAAAAAAAATTCATCTAGCTAGTAAAAATTTTGAGTTTATCCAAACTTTAATTTTTTTAATAAAAATTTTATTATGCTAACTTTTAATTCAACGGTATATTTTGAGATAAGTTTATTAAATATGTAACAGTGATTATTACGTACACACACATATATTACGTACACATATATAAACGTGTCTCTCCTCTCTTTTTTCATTCTATATAATCTCTTATTTTTTAAGAAATTAAACAAACTCGTCTCATTTCATTTTTTATTTGAGAGGATTGTAGATTAAAATATAAATTTAAATAATTTTTTTAATTTTCTATAAAATAAAATGAAACAAACTATATTATGTAAAACAACTAATCTAGAAAACGGAACTAACAAATTGTTCTTTAACATTTTTTTGGCGTTCGATGAATCAAGCTATACAATAATGCAGGATGGATATCCTTTCATATGTAAATTGTTTAATCAACGCGTGACTCGCGTGTAAAGTATAATATTTTCTTTAGTGGATCGAGGAAAATAATAATACGTAATTAATTAATAACGAAGCATAATTTTGGTCTTTGTAAAATTTTTTTAATACAAAGCCTAGTAACTTAAAAGAGTAATTTCTCTAATCTCAGTGCATAACTGCCCACGACGATAAGAAGAAGGGTCATTTGTAAAGGAAAGGAAAGGAAAGAACAACACAGCTTTTAGCTAGAATTGAGATGGACGACATCAAGTTTCAAGAATGGAATAAGTAATTCTATCTATATGTTTTTTATTCACCTTACTTGTAAATTTGATAAAGGAGTAGAGAGAAATGATAAAGGAAATTATAAATTTGATTTACTTTAAATTTTGTTTTTCAATTCAACAAAGGGACCGGAAGGACCCGTGGAAGTTATTATTTTTACAACAATGGCATCATGACTCAACTTTCTGTTTTGTTTTTTTATGTATTTGCATCATGCATTTGACTTAATACAATCACATCATAGGTTCAAAATTTAATAATAAACGATGTAGTTACTAATATATCAAAGGAAAATTCTTTTTATGATCATCAATTTTTATTTTTATTTTTGAAAACTTGATCATCAATTATTGAACTTATTATTTTAGTATTGAACTCAGTTTTTGAAGTACTACATTTCTTTCTTTAATTTAGTCAATCGTTTGCAAAAACTATGTATCAATTAAAATAAATTATCTTTAAAAGATTAAAGAAACATAGATACAATCGTTACACGAACTAAAATATCATTTTATTGTAATCGATATTATCCTTCTCTTATTGTCATATATGATTAATTTGTTTTCTATTTCTTCAGTGCAATCTGAACACGGGTAGCTTAGAAAATTTATCCTCGACAAGAAATTAACATTAACAGTATTACCACATTCTTAATTCATGATTGTCAAATTACTTTCGAATAATAGAAAAAAACATCTCTATTTTTTTTTTATAATATCAATATCAATTACTTGACTGATCTAATTCGAGACGGATAAAATTATATGGGCAATAAAATTCTCCCAACAAGATATTTTTAAGAATTCAAACTCTAAAATACTGGTTAAATCAAAACAAAAACAGTTAATCCACATATCTCGTCCATTATTAACATTTTTTCATAATCAACGTGACACATTAATTATCAAAAAGAATCCTAGGCAACAAAGTCAAGGAGAGCGGTAAATAGTGATTGTAGAAGAACAAGATATATAAGCCACTATTATTAATTTAATGATATATAAATAGTGATTGTAGATTGTGTTTTAAATTTCCACCGAAAAATATATTGTACTTTCATAAACATTTTTATTATTGTGAGTAGTTCTGGATGCTGCGACTGATACCAGCGAATCAAACAAATGAACATGTCCACGTCGATTCACTGGTCCCATTCATATATTATTTAATAATGCCCACGCGCAAGCAACAAGATGAGGTACATAATAAAATATATTTGTTATTATCATCGGTCGTGGCACGTTGAATTCTGGAATCTAAAAAAAACTATCCAGAACACGTGCCGGATATCATATTATATTGGCTTCTTGTATTTAACAACCATTTACCTGAAAGGTGTTCACTCGTTATTTGACACTTATGGATAAGAGGGTACCCCACCCATACCTGCCAAAAAAAATAAAAAATATCACCCCGATTTACAGAAAATTAATTGCACGTGATAAGCAAAATTGCTTTTCCCTATTACTTTAAACGAAGGGACAAAACTCTCGATAACTCCAAAGAATCATGATAATATATGACATATTTTCTTTGGGTTTATCATCTATCATTTAACATGACCACAAAAATTTTCCTACACACACAACATTTTGTGAGGCCCGCAGCAAAAAAAAAAAAAAAATTTCGGCACGCAAAACGAATCTCTATAACATAACACAATCACTTTTCCTACCACATAACTCTTATAAAACCCAATTTCTTTACCTACACTCCTTTGATTGAGATGTCCTAGAGTCTGTTTAGATGGGATTATTATTTTTTTAAAGTTATTTTTTTTCAAAAGAAGAATATTTCTCACTATAAATTTATTTAGATATCTATTTTTTTTTTAAAGTAAAAGTTAAAAATCAAATATTTTTTTCAAATATTAAATATTTTTTAAAATTATAAAAAAAAAATTAATTTAAAAAAAAAATAATTCTAAAATAAATAAGGCACAAAAGCTACTCTCTTTTTTTTAAGGCCAAACAAACGGATTCCTGTATTTTCTGTGCAAAGTTGCGGTGCTACAGAAAAAGAAATTCAACGTCAGTGATGGAGATATAAAATATGCAA